CCTTTTTCAAATAGAGAAAACGGCCCAGAAAAATTTATTCAGCACTGGGAAAAGGGTATTTTCTTCATAAGAGTCGTGCTCCATATCAGTCCTTCCAAATGGGCAGAGATTCTCTGAGGGCATTTCTACTCCCCAAAATCCCGACCCCCGAATCCCTCCCTGCTTGCTTGTACGAGTCCTGGGAGACATCTGGGATGAGATGATTCCCTGCATCTCCCTGCTGCTGTACGAGTCCTGGGAGACATCTGGGATGAGATGTTTCCCTGCTTACATACAGTATTTGGGTGTGTGTCAACATGCTGACTGATCCAAGCCGTTATATTCAGGTATGAACGAATCCACATATTTTCAGATATACAGTGGGGGGAAAAAAGTATTTAGACAGCCACCAATTGTGCAAGTTCTCCCACTTAAAAAGATGAGAGGCCTGTAATTTTCATCATAGGTACACGTCAACTATGACAGACAAATTGAGAATTTTTTTCTCCAGAAAATCACATTGTAGGATTTGTCATGAATTTATTTGCAAATTATGGTGGAAAATAAGTATTTGGTCACCTACAAACAAGCAAGATTTCTGGCTCTCACAGACCTGTAACTTCTTCTTTAAGAGGCTCCTCTGTCCTCCACTCGTTACCTGTATTAATGACACCTGTTTGAACTTATCAGTATAAAAGACACCTGTCCACAACCTCAAACAGTCACACTCCAAACTCCACTATGGCCAAGACCAAAGAGCTGTCAAAGGACACCAGAAACAAAATTGTAGACCTGCACCAGGCTGGGAAGACTGAATCTGCAATAGGTAAGCAGCTTGGTTTGAAGAAATCAACTGTGGGAGCAATTATTAGGAAATGGAAGACATACAAGACCACTGATAATCTCCCTCGATCTGGGGCTCCACGCAAGATCTCACCCCGTGGGGTCAAAATGATCACAAGAATGGTGAGCAAAAATCCCAGAACCACACGGGAGGACCTAGTGAATGACCTGCAGAGAGCTGGGACCAAAGTAACAAAGCATACCATCAGTAACACACTACGCCGCCAGGGACTCAAATCCTGCAGTGCAAGACGTGTCCCCCTGCTTAAGCCAGTACATGTCCAGGCCCGTCTGAAGTTTGCTAGAGTGCATTTGGATGATCCAGAAGAGGATTGGGAAAATGTCATATGGTCAGATGAAACCAAAATAGAACTTTTTGGTAAAAACTCAACTCGTGTTTGGAGGACAAAGAATGCTGAGTTGCATCCAAAGAACACCATACCTACTGTGAAGCATGGGGGTGGAAACATCATGCTTTGGGGCTGTTTTTCTGCAAAGGGACCAGGACGACTGATCCGTGTAAAGGAAAGAATGAATGGGGCCATGTATCGTGAGATTTTGAGTGAAAACCTCCTTCCATCAGCAAGGGCATTGAAGATGAAACGTGGCTGGGTCTTTCAGCATGACAATGATCCCAAACACACCGCCCGGGCAACGAAGGAGTGGCTTCGTAAGAAGCATTTCAAGGTCCTGGAGTGGCCTAGCCAGTCTCCAGATCTCAACCCCATAGAAAATCTTTGGAAGGAGTTGAAAGTCCGTGTTGCCCAGCGACAGCCCCAAAACATCACTGCTCTAGAGGAGATCTGCATGGAGGAATGGGCCAAAATACCAGCAACAGTGTGTGAAAACCTTGTGAAGACTTAGAGAAAACGTTTGACCTGTGTCATTGAAGATGGGTCGTGGCTAGGTCTTCCAGCATGACAACGACCCGAAACACACAGCCAGGGCAACTAAGGAGTGGAATGCAACTCAGCATTCTTTGTCCTCCAAACACGACGAGTTGAGTTTTTACCAAAAAGTTATATTTTGGTTTCATCTGACCATATGACATTCTCCCAATCCTCTTCTGGATCATCCAAATGCACTCTACCAAACTTCAGACGGGCCTGGACATGTACTGGCTTAAGCAGGAGGACACGTCTGGCACTGCAGGATTTGAGTCCCTGGCGGCGTAGTGTGTTACTGATGGTAGGCTTTGTTACTTTGGTCCCAGCTCTCTGCAGGTCATTCACTAGGTGATCATTTTGACCCCACGGGGTGAGATCTTGCGTGGAGCCCCAGATCGAGGGAGATTATCAGTGGTCTTGTATGTCTTCCATTTCCTAATAATTGCTCCCACAGTTGATTTCTTCAAACCAAGCTGCTTACCTATTGCAGATGCAGTCTTCCCAGCCTGGTGCAGGTCTACAATTTTGTTTCTGGTGTCCTTTGACAGCTCTTTGGTCTTGACCATAGTGGAGTTTGGAGTGTGACTGTTTGAGGTTGTGGACAGGTGTCTTTTATACTGATAACAAGTTCAAACAGGTGCCATTAATACAGGTAACGAGTGGAGGACAGAGGAGCCTCTTAAAGAAGAAGTTACAGGTCTGTGAGAGCCAGAAATCTTGCTTGTTTGTAGGTGAACAAATACTTATTTTCCACCATAATTTGCAAATAAATTTAATTAAAAATCCTACAATGTGATTTACTGGAGAAAAAATCTCAATTTGTTTGTCATAGTTGACGTGTACCTATGATGAAAATTACAGGCCTCTCTCATCTTTTTAAGTGGGAGAACTTGCACAATTGGTGGCTGACTAAATACTTTTTTCCCCCACTGTACAGGCCCGTCTGAAGTTTGCCAATGATTCAGAGGAGAACTGGCTGAAAGTGTTGTGGTCAGATGAGACCAAAATCGTGCTCTTTGGCATCAACTCAACTCGCCGTGTTTGGAGGAGGAGGAATGCTGCCTATGACCCCAAGAACACCATCCCCACCGTCAAACATGGAGGCGGAAACATTATGCTTTGGGGGTGTTTTTCTGCTAAGGGGACAGGACAACTTCACCGCATCAAAGGGACGATGGATGGGGCCATGTACCGTCAAATCTTGGGTGAGAACCTCCTTCCCTCAGCCAGGGCATTGAAAATGGGTCTTGGATGGGTATTCCAGTATGACAATGACCCAAAACACACTGCCAAGGCAACAAAGGAGTGGCTCAAGAAGAAGCACATTAAGGTCCTGGAGTGGCCTAGCTAGTCTCCAGACCTTAATCCCATAGAAAATCTGTGGAAGGAGCTGCAGGTTCGAGTTGCCAAACGTCAGCCTCGAAACCTTAATGACTTGGAGAAGATCTGCAAAGAGGAGTGGGACAAAAACCCTCCTGAGATGTGTGCAAACCTGGTGGCCAACTACAAGAAACGTCTGACCAAGTACTAAGTCATGTTTTGCAGAGGGGTCAAATACTTATTTCCCTGATTAAAATGCAAATCAAATTATAACATTTTTGACATGTGTTTTTCTGGATTATTTTGTTGTTATTCTGTCTCACTGTTCAAATAAACCTACCATTAAAATTATAGACTGATCATGTCTTTGTCAGTGGGCAAACGTACAAAATCAGCAGGGGATCAAATACTTTTTTCCCTCACTGTATGTTTGACCAGTGGTATGAAGCTGTGGCTTGGAGGATTGTTTCTTTCTACTATGTAATGTATTCTCAGTCAATTTGGTGATGTGCTTTTTCCCCTGTTCAGAGAAACAATGTAATGTATTCTCAGTCAATTTGGTGATGTGCTTTTTCCCCTGTTCAGAGAAACGATGCAATGTATTCTCAGTCAATTTGGTGATGTGCTTTTTCCCCTGTTCAGAGAAATTAGCCATTGAAGTATTTTCCACCATAAATAAGTGTGAAAGTACCAGGTTTTGCCCCCTCGATGCTGCTGTTCCTGCCACACCATTTCATCCATTTCGCTGGTCTCTTGTTTTTATTAAATGAAACAATTTCTTTGCCACTTTGGGTAGAAAACCAATAGCTTTTGCTCCTGATAAAAATACATGGTGTGGACATCCTCACAAGTCAAGCCAGTCCTCCATGAAAGCACATCAGTTTGTCCTTCTCCTAGGCGTAATCTGTGTCCAGGAAACGGCCTCTCCTGTGTGTGGTTTATTCCCTTCAATAAACGTCTGGATTAGTTAGAACATTCCTGGCGAACAAGAAAACCATTAGGCTACAGCAGTTCTAATGGTCTCTAATGGTCTCTAATGGTCTCCGATGGTCTCTAATGGTCTCCAATGGTCTCCAATGGTCTCCAATGGTCTCCAATGGTCTCCAATGGTCTCCAATGGTCTCTAATGGTAAAGGTCCCAAACACACTGTATAATGTTTTGTAATGGTATTAGGTTGGGTTTAATGGTACATGTCACCAATCACACAGCATATAGAGATGTTTTCTAAGGTGTTTATTGAAAAACATAACTACCATACAATGGTTTATAATAACAAAGTTCCCAGTGGACAAAACCATTTGTTTTCTAAACAGAGGTGTCACCAAAGCGGTGTTGTATGCATTAGGTCACTCCAAGCTAACTTTCAGATATGCATTAGGTCATGCCAAGCTAACTTTCAAAGATGCATTTTTTCAAGTTATCAAAAATGACAACTATGACAAACGTGGCCATGTGCATGACAATGAATCATTACCCAGAATTCCATAATAGCCCTGATGGTCACCTGATCACATGGTAGGGCAGGAAGAGAGGCTGTCCCTTTGGCACTTTAGAAATATAATCCCTGTTGTGTGTCAGTGGAAGAACAGGTCTTGACAGATGCGTTGTGTATCTTCAGGGCAGGTGACTTCATGTCCGATGGTTCTGGGATCTGCATAGATCTCATAGTCGTTTCCTCCCTAAAACACAGCATCAACTTTAATATATCATATCGTTTCCTCCCTAAAACACAACATCAACATTAATATATCATAGTCGTTTCCTCCCTAAAGCACAACATCAACATTAATATATCATATCGTTTCCTCCCTAAAACACAGCATCAACATTAATATATCATAGTCGTTTCCTCCCTAAAACACAACATTAATATATCATATTGTTTCCTCCCTAAAGCACAACATTAATACATCATATTGTTTCCTCCCTAAAGCACAACATCAACATTAATATATCATATCGTTTCCTCCCTAAAGCACAACATCAACATTAATATATCATATCGTTTCCTCCCTAAAGCACAACATTAATATATCATATTGTTTCCTCCCTAAAGCACAACATCAACATTAATATATCATATCGTTTCCTCCCTAAAGCACAACATCAACATTAATATATCATATCGTTTCCTACCTAAAGCACAACATCAACATTAATATATCATATCGTTTCCTCCCTAAAGCACAACATCAACATTAATATATCATATCGTTTCCTCCCTAAAGCACAACATCAACATTAATATATCATATTGTTTCCTCCCTAAAGCACAACATCAACATTAATACATCATATCGTTTCCTCCCTAAAGCACAACATCAACATTAATATATCATATCGTTTCCTCCCTAAAGCACAACATCAACATTAATATATCATATCGTTTCCTCCCTAAAGCACAACATCAACATTAATATATCATATCGTTTCCTCCCTAAAGCACAACATCAACATTAATATATCATATCGTTTCCTCCCTAAAGCACAACATCAACATTAATATATCATATCGTTTCCTCCCTAAAGCACAACATTAATATATCATATCGTTTCCTCCCTAAAGCACAACATCAACATTAATATATCATATCGTTTCCTCCCTAAAGCACAACATCAACATTAATATATCATATCGTTTCCTCCCTAAAGCACAACATCAACATTAATACATCATATCGTTTCCTCCCTAAAGCACAACATTAATACATCATATTGTTTCCTTCCTAAAGCACAACATCAACATTAATATATCATATCGTTTCCTCCCTAAAGCACAACATCAACATTAATATATCATATCGTTTCCTCCCTAAAGCACAACATCAACATTAATATATCATATTACAGCAGCTCTGACGCTCGTCGGATGTGGCAGGGCTTGAAAACTATTACAGACTACAAAGGGAAGCACAGCCGCGAGCTGCCCAGTGACATACTCCTGAGTGGCGCAGTGGTCTAAGGCACTGCATCGCAGTGCTAACTGTGCCACTAGAGATCCTGGTTCGAATCCAGGCTCTGTCGCAGCCGGCCGCAACCGGGAGACTCATGGGCGGCGCACAATTGGCCCAGCGTCGTCCAGGGTAGGGGAGGGAATGGCCAGCAGGGATGTAGCTCAGTTGATAGAGCATGGCGTTTGCAACGCCAGGGTTGTGGGTTCGTTTCCCACGGGGGGCCAGTATAAAAAAAAAAAATGTATTCACTAACTGTAAGTCGCTCTGGATAAGAGCGTCTGCTAAATGACGTAAAATGTAAATGTAAAAACAAGACTTCCAGACGAGCTAAACCACTTCTATGCTCGCTTCGAGGCAAGCAACACTGAAGCATGCATGAGAGCACCAGCTGTTCCGGACGACTGTGTGATCACGCTCTCCGTAGCCGATGTGAGTAAGACTTTTAAGCAGGTCAACATTCACAAGGCCGCAGGGCCAGATGGATTACCAGGATGTGTACTCCGAGCATATGCTGACCAACTGGCAAGTGTCTTCACTGACATTTTCAACATGTCCCTGACTGAGTCTGTAATACCAACATGTTTCAAGCAGACCACTATAGTCCCCGTGCCCAAGGACACTAAGATAACCTGCCTAAATGACTACCGACCCGTAGCACTGACGTCTGTAGCCATGAAGTGCTTTGAAAGGCTGGTCATGGCTCACATCAACACCATTATCCCAGAAACCCTAGACCCACTCCAATTTGCATACCGCCCCAACAGATCCACAGATGCAATCTCTATTGCACTCCACACTGCCCTTTCCCACCTGGACAAGAGGAACACCTACGTGAGAATGCTATTCATTGACTACAGCTCAGCATTCAACACCATAGTGCCCTCAAAGCTCATCACTAAGCTAAGGATCCTGGGACTAAACACCTCCCTCTGCAACTGGATCCTGGACTTCCTGACGGGCCGCCCCCAGGTGGTAAGGGTAGGTAACAACACATCTGCCACACTGATCCTCAACACGGGGGCCCCTCAGGGGTGCGTGCTCAGTCCCCTCCTGTACTCCCTGTTCACCCATGACTGCATGGCCAGGCACGACTCCAACACCATCATTAAGTTTGCTGACGACACAACAGTGGTAGGCCTGATCACCGACAACGATGAGACAGCCTATAGGGAGGAGGTCAGAGATCTGGCCGTGTGGTGCCAGGACAACAACCTCTCCCTCAACGTGATCAAGACAAAGGAGATGATTGTGGACTACAGGGAAAAAAAGTGGACCGAGCACGCCCCCATTCTCATCGACGGGGCTGTAGTGGAACAGGTTGAGAGCTTCAAGTTCCTTGGTGTCCACATCACCAACAAACTATCATGGTCCAAACACACCAAGACAGTCGTGAAGAGGGGACGACAAAGCCTATTCCCCCTCAGGAGACTGAAAAGATTTGGCATGGGTCCTCAGATCCTCAAAAAGTTATACAGCTGCACCATTGAGAGCATTCTGACTGGTTGCATCACTGCTTGGTATGGCAACTGCTTGGCCTCTGACCGCAAGGCACTACAGAGGGTAGTGCGTACGGCCCAGTACATCACTGGGGCCAAGCTTCCCGCCATCCAGGACCTCTATACCAGGCGGTGACAGAGGAAGGCCCTCAAAATTGTCAAAGACTCCAGCCACCCTAGTCATAGACTGTTCTCTCTGCTACCGCACGGCAAGCGGTACCGGAGTGCCAAGTCTAGGTCCAAAAGACTTCTCAACAGCTTCTACCCCCAAGCCATAAGACTCCTGAACAGCTAATCATGGCTACCCGGACTATTTGCACTGCCCATTATTAAGCTATAACGTGGTTGTCATTATAACGTGGTTGTCATTATAAAGCTATAACGTGGTTGTCATTATAAAGCTATAACGTGATTGTCATTATAACGTGGTTGTCATTATAAAGCTATAACGTGGTTGTCATTATAAAGCTATAACGTGATTGTCATTATAACGTGGTTGTCATCATAAAGCTATAACGTGGTTGTCATTATAAAGCTATAACGTGGTTGTCATTATAAAGCTATAACGTGGTTGTCATTATAAAGCTATAACGTGGTTGTCATTATAAAGCTATAAGTGTTTCTTATAAAGCTATAATTGTCTGGTTGTCATTATAACGTGGTTGTCATTATAAAGCTATAAGTGGTTGTCATTATAAAGCATTAACGTGGTTGTATTATAAAGCTTATAACGTGGTTGTCATTATAAAGCTATAACGTGTGTTGTCATTATAAAGCTATAACGTGGTTGTCATTATAACGTGGTTGACATTATAAAGCTATAATGTGGTTGTCATTATAACGTGGTTGTCATCATAAAGCTAACCGTGGTTGTCATTATAAAGCTATAACGTGGTTGTCATTTAAAGCTATAACGTGGTGTGTCATTATAAAAGCTATAACGTGGTTGTCATTATAAAGCTATAAACGTGGTTGTCATTATTAAAGCTTAACGTGGTTTGTCATTATAAAGCTATAACGTGGTTGCATTATAAAGCTTAACGTGGTTGTCATTATAAGGTTCATTTATAAAGCTATAACGTGGTTGTCATATACGCTATAACTGGTTGTCATTTAAAGCATAACGTGGTTGTCATTTAAAGCTATAACGTGGGTTTTCATTATAAAGCTATAACTGGTTGTCATTATAAAGCTATAACTGGTTGTCATATAAAGCTATAACGTGGTTGTCATTATAAAGCTATAACGTGGTTGTCATTATAAGCTACTTACAGGTTAGTTTTGTCTCCAAAGAAGTGTATGGTTTTAGAGAGTCTTTTCTCTACCAGCCCAGCAGTAAACGCTTGTCCCAGCCTTTGGGAACACATCAAAACTGATCTGACCACATGCAGAAGAGAGGAGGGAGAGAGGGAGGAGAGGGGGGAGAGGGGGGCGAGAGAGGGGGGAGAGGGAGGGAGGGAGGAGGGAGGAGGGGGGGGGAGAGGGAAGGAGAGAGGGGGGAGAGGGAGGGAGAGGGAGACGGGGGGGAGGGGGGAGAGGGAGGGGGAGGAGAGGGGGGCGGAGAGGGGGTGGATGGAGGGAGGGAGGGGGGGTGGGAGGGAGGGGGGAGAGGGAGGGGGGGGGAGAGGGAGGGGGGAGAGGGAGGGGTGGGGGAGAGGGGAGGGAGTCGGTGGAGAGGAGGAGTAGTAGAGGGGTAGTTAGAGGAGTAGTAGAGGGGGTGGAGAGGGGGTGGTAGAGGGAGGGAGGATGCGAGAAGGTGGGGGGAAGGGAGAGGGGTGGGAGGAGTGAGAGGCGAGAGGGTGGGGGGAGTGGGGGGGAGGGACAGGGGTTGGGGAGTGGGGAGGGGACAGTGGGTGGGAGTGGGGAGGGAAGCGGAGTGGGAGAGAGAGCGAGAGGAGAGGGTAGAGGAGGGGGAGAGAGGGGGGTGGGGGGTGGGATAGAGGAGGGTGGGTGGGGATAGAGAGAGGGTGGGGTGGGATAGAGAGAGGGTGGGGTGGGCTAGAGGAGGGAGGGGTGGGGGTGGGAGGTCAGGGGTTATAGGTCCGACTCACCTATAGAGGAGTCCTTCGGGGTCATAGCGGTTCAGGGGTTATAGGTCAGACTTCAAACCTATAGAGAAGTCCTTAGGGTTAGAGTCAGGGGTTATAGGTCAGCTCACCTATAGAGGGGAGTCCTTAGGTTAGATGGGTCAGGGGTTATAGGTCAGACTCACCTTAGAGAAAAAAGTCCTTAGGGTTAGAGGTCAGGGTCAGACTCACCTATAGGAAGTCCTTAGGTTAGACGTCAGGGGTTGGTTATAGGCAGGACTTCACATAAGAGAAGTCCTTAGGGTTAGAGGTCAGGGGTGTTTAGGGGTTATAGGTCAGACTCACCTATAGAGACGTCCTTAGGGGTTAGAGGTGGGGTTATAGGTCAGAATCACCGATAGCGAAGTCCTTAGGTTCGAGGTCAGGGGCAGACTCAATATAGAGAAGTCCTTAGGGTTAGAGGTAAGGGGATAGGTCAGACTCACCTATCGAGAAGTCCTTAGGTAAGGTCAGGGGTTTATAGGTCAGACTCACTATAGAGAAGTCTTAGGGTTTAGGGTCAGGGTTATAGTCAGATCACCTATGTAGATAGTCCTAGGGTTAGAGGTCAGGGGTTGATAGGTCAGACTCACCTATAGAAGACGTCCTTAGGTAGAGGTCAGGGGTCGTTATAGGTACAGTCACCTAAGAGAAGTCCTTAGGGTTAGAGGTCAGGGGTTAAGTCAAGAATCACCTAATAGAGAAGTTCCTAGGGTTAGAGGTAGGGGTGATAGGTCAGACTCACTATAAGAGGAAGTCCTTAGGTTTTAGAGGTCAGGGGTTATAGGGGTAAGACTCACCTATAGAGAAGTCATTAGGGTTAGAGTCAGGGGGTTATAGGTCAGACTCACGATAGAGAGCGTAGGGTAGAGGTCAGGGCGGTTATAGGTCAGACTCACCTATAGAGAAGTCCTTTAGGGTAGAGGTCAGGGGGTTATAGGTCAGACTCACCTATAGAGAAGTCCTTAGGAAGTTAGAGGCAGGGTCAGACTCACCTATAGAGAAGATCCTTGGGTTAGCGGTCAGGGCGTTATTAGGTCAGACTCACTATAGAGAAGTCCTTAGGGTTAGAGGTAAGGGGTTAGAGGTAAGATCAACTATCTAGGTATCTTCGCTCTTAAGAGAAGTACTTAGGTTAGAGTCAGGGGTTTTAAGGTCAGGACTCACCTATCAGAGAAGTCATAGGGTTAGAGGTGCAGGGGTTATAGGCAGACTCACTTATAGAGACGGTCCTTAGGGTTAGAGGCAGGGGATTGGGTGCTAGGTTCAGACTCACCCATAGAGAAGTCCTTAGGGTTAGAGGTCAGGGGTTATGGTCAGGACTCACCTATAGAGACGTACCTTAAGGGTTAGAGGTCAGGGGTTATAGGTCGACTCACCATAGAGAAGTCCCTTAGGGTCGAGGTAGTGGTTAAGGTCAGACTCACCTATAGGGAAGTCCTAGGGTTAGAGTCAGGGTATAGGTCAGATCCCTAAGAGACGTCCTTCTGGTTAGAGGGTCAGGGGTAGGTTTTTGTTTGTAGGTAAGACTCACCTATAGAGAATCACTTAGGGTTAGAGGTCTAGGGGTCTATAGGTCAGACTCACCTATAGAGAAGTCCTTAGGGTTAGAGGTCAGGGGTTATAGGTCAGACTCACCTATAGAGAAGTCCTTAGGGTTAGAGGTCAGGGGTTATAGGTCAGACTCACCTATAGAGAAGTCTAGGGTTAGAGGTAGAGGTCAGGGGTTATAGGTCAGACTCATCTATAGAGAAAGTCCTTAGGGTAGAGGTCAGGGGTTTATAGGTCAGACTCCACCTATAGAGAAGTCCTTACGGGTTAGAGGTCGGGGTTATAGGTCAGGACTCACTATAGAGGAAGTCCTGAGGGTTTTAGAGGTCAGGGGTTATAGGTCAGACTCACCTATAGGCGCGTCATTAGGGTTGAGGTCAGGGGTATAGGTCAGACCCCTTATAGAGAAGTCTTAGGGTTAGAGGTCAGGGGTTATAGGTCAGACTCACTATAGAGAAGTCCTTAGGGTTAGAGGTCAGGGGTTATAGGTCAGACTCACCTATAGAGAAGTCCTTAGGGTTAGAGGTCAGGGGTTATAGGTCAGACTCACCTATAGAGAAGTCCTTAGGGTTAGAGGTCAGGGGTTATAGGTCAGACTCACCTATAGAGACCTCCTTAGGGTTAGAGGTCAGGGGTTATAGGTCAGACTCACCTATAGAGAAGGTCAGTCCTTTGCCTTTAAACTCCTCCTGAAGAACGGCAACAAACTTCTCTCTGATTCGTTCTTTCTGTTGAGAGACAGCTGTCAATCAAAGTGATCTAAGACACAGGCAGGAAGGCGAAAGGCAGGGACAGACAGGACAGACGACAAGGCAGGCAGGACAGCAGACAGACAGACAGAGAGGCAGGGCCAGAAGGCAGACGGGACAGGCGACAGGCAGACAGGCAGCAGACAGACAGAGAGCAGCAGACAGGCAGGACAGACAGACAGACAGAGTGAGAGGCAGGAGACAGGCAGACAGACAGGCAGACAGGCAGGGACGAACAGACAGACAGAGAGGCAGGCAGACAGGCCCAGACGAGAGGCAGGGCAGGACAGGCAGAAGACAGGCAGGACAGATAGACGACGAACAGGCAGGGACAGGAAGGTAGGCAGCAGACAGGCAGACAGACGGCAGGCAGGAAGACAGAAAGGAGTAGGCAGCCAGGCAGGCAGCAGGCAGGCAGGCAGGGACAGACAGACAGGAAAGACAGACAGGACAGGCAGGGCAGGACAGACAGGCAGGTCGGCAGGCAGGCGGCAGGCAGGACCGACAGTGCAGACAGACAGGCAGGCAGGCAGGACAGGGACAGGCAGGGAGGCAGGCAGGCAGACAGAGAGGGGAAGCAGGCAGGCAGGCAGGCAGGTAGACAGACAGACAGGCAGGCAGGGCAGGGCAGGACAGACAGAGAGGCAGGCAGGCAGGCAGACAGAGAAGAGCAGACAGGCAGAAGGCAGGCAGGGGAGGTAGACAGGCAGGACAGACAGACAGGCAAGGCAGGCAGGAAGGCGGGGCAGGCAGGGAGGCAGGCCAGGCAGACGAGAGGAGACAGGCAGGCAGGCACGGCAGGGAGGCAGGCAGCAGACACGAGAGGGAAGGCAGGCAGACAGACATGGACAGCAGACAGACAGAAGGACAGACAGGAACAGACAGACAGACAGACAGACAGGCAGGCCAGGGTAGGCAGGCATGACAGATGAAGAACAGACAGACAGGACAGACAGACAGACAGACAGACAGGACAGGGACAGGACAGACAGACAGACAGACAGACAGGCAGGCAGACAGACAGGCCCAGGACAGGCGACAAGACAGGAGGCGGCAGGCAGGCAGACAGGCAGGCAGGTCGGTAGGTAGACAGAGAGGCAGCGCAGGCTAGGCAGGGAGGCAGGGCAGGCCAGGCAGACAGACAGACAGAAGACCGACAGACAGACAGGACAGACAGACAGACAGGAAAGACAGGCGACAGGACAGGGCAGGCAGGCGGGCAGGCAGACAGGCAGGCAGGTAGGGTAGGTAGACAGAAGCCAGACAGACAGGAAGAACAGGGCAGCAGACAGGCAGAGGTAGGCAGGCAGACAGAGAGGACAGGCAGGACAGAAGGCAGGACAGGCAGACAGGGCAGGAAGCAGGCAGGGCAGGCAGGGCAGGCAGGGAGTGCAGGCAGGGAGGCAGACAGACAGACAGACCGGACAGACAGACAGGCAGGCAGACAGGCAGGTAGGCAGGCAGGGGACAGCAGAACAGGACAGAAGACAGACAGCGAGCAGGCGACAGGGCAGACGACAGGGCAGACAGCAAAGGCAGAGACAGACAGACAGACAGACGACAGACCGGCAGCCAGACAGGGCAGACAGGCCAGCAGCAGGCAGGCAGGTAGACAGGCAGACAGGAAGGCAGGGGGACAGACAGGCAGGCAGGCAGGAGGAGGACAGGCAGGCAGGTGAGGTAGGAGCCAGACGGACAGAAGACAGAAGACAGACAGGCAGGCAGACAGGCAGGCTAGGCAGGCAGAAGGCAGACAGACAGGCAGACAGAACAGGACAGACAGGCAAGGCGGGAGGCAGGCAGGGGAGGCAAGACAGACAGACAGACGACAGGCAGACAGGCAGGTGGCAGGCAAGACAGACGGGCAGGCAGGACAGAAACAGACAGACAGACAGAGGAGGCAGGCAGACAAGGCAGACAGACAGGCGGACAGGACAGACAGACAGAAGAACAGGACAGACATGGCAGGCAGCCAGGGCAGGCAGAAGGCAGGCAGGACAGAACAGACAGACAGGCAGGCAGACAGACAGGCAGGGCAGCAGGGGCAGGACAGGCGGCAGACAGGCAGGCAGGCAGACAGACAGGCAGGGAGGGCAGGCAGGCAGGACAGAGAGGCAGGCAGGGCAGGCAGGCAGGCAGGTAGACAGGCGGCAGACAGACAGGCAGGCAGGCAGACAGAGAGGCAGAAAGGCAGGCAGGGCAGGCAGGGAGGCAGGGGGAGACAGGGCAGACAGACAGACAGGCAGCAGGCAGGCAGCAGACAGAGAGGCAGACAGGCAGGCAGGCAGGCAGGGAGGCAGGCAGGCAGACAGAGAGGCAGACAGGCAGGCAGGCAGGCAGGGAGGCAGGCAGGCAGACAGAGAGGCAGGCAGGCAGGCAGACAGACAGACAGACAGACAGGACAGACAGACAGGCAGGCAGGCAGGCAGGCAGGCAGGCAGGCAGGTAGACAGGCAGGCAGGCAGGCAGACAGACAGACAGGCAGGCAGGCAGACAGAGAGGCAGACAGGCAGGCAGGCAGGCAGGGAGGTAGACAGGCAGACAGACAGACAGGCAGGCAGGCAGGCAGGCAGACAGAGAGGCAGACAGGCAGGCAGGCAGGCAGGGAGGCAGGCAGGCAGACAGAGAGGCAGACAGGCAGGCAGGGAGGCAGGCAGGCAGACAGAGAGGCAGGCAGGCAGGCAGACAGACAGACAGACAGACAGACAGGCAGGCAGACAGGCAGGCAGGCAGGCAGGCAGGCAGGCAGACAGGCAGGCAGGTAGGTAGGTAGACAGAGAGGCAGGCAGGCAGGCAGGGAGGCAGGCAGGCAGGGAGGCAGACAGACAGACAGGCAGGCAGGCAGACAGCATCCCTCCATACTTGGTCCAGCTGGTAGAACTCTATCCTCTCCTCCTGACTGCAGCTCCGCCCCACAGGTGACACGTTCAGCATCCCATTACGGAACTCTATAAACGTCCCCCTGAGGAGAGAGAAAGAGAGAGAGACAGAGAGAGAGAGACAGAGAGAGAGATGGGGTGAATGTGTGTGAGTGTGAGTGAGAGAGAGAGAGAGATGGGGTGAATGTATGTGAGTGTGTGAGAGAGATGGGGTGAATGTGTGTGAGTGTGAGTGAGAGTGAGTGTACCTCTTCCTGGGTAGTGTTATCTTGGACAGGTAGTTGAGACAGAAGTTGATGAAGTCTTGAATAAGATCCTCCCCCATGTACGCCTGGATACTCTGAAACAACCAATCACAGCCATGGATACTCTGAAACAACCAATCACAGCCATGGATACTCTGAAACAACCAATCACAGCCATGGATACTCTGAAACAACCAGTGACTACAACGTGTCCATGTTTGTCAATAAACCACATGTGGAGCATCAAGGGTCAGGGTCTCACCTGTACTGCTACCAGCTGTCCATTCTTATAGGCCACCAATCCATTCTCAGCAAACACATAGTCCACCTTCTCTACCACTACGACACACACCAAGACATATATTAGTACACTGTCTGTGTGTGTCTGTGTGTGTGTGTCTGTGTGTGTAACCTGCGTGTGTGTCTGTGTGTGTGTGTAACCTGCGTGTGTGTGTGTGTGTGTGTGTGTCTGTGTGTGTGCGTCTGTGTGTGTGTAACCTGCGTCTGTGTGTGTGTAACCTGCGTCTGTGTGTGTGTGTGTGTGTGTAACCTGCGTCTGTGTGTGTGTGTGTCTGTAACCTGCGTCTGTGTGTGTCTGTGTGTAACCTGCGTCTGTGTGTGTGTGTGTGTTCTGTGTGTGTAACCTGCGTCTGTGTGTGTGTGTGTCTGTGGTGCGGTGTGTCTGTGTTGTGTGTGTGTGTAACCTGCGTCTGTCTGTGTATTGCACATGCTCGCCGGGAGCAGATTTGAGTGCTGCAACTCTGTGTCAAAACTATTTACTAACATGACTAAAGCCCACCCGTTGGAACTGACTCGTTAATGCAGTAAACTATTTACTAACATGACTAAAGCCCACCCGTTGGAAACTGACTATTAATGCAGTAAGTAAAACTATTTACTACCATGAATAAAGCCCACCCGTTGGAACGATCGTTAATGAAGTAAAACTATTACTCCCATGACTAAGCCCAACCGTTGGAACTTGAACTCGGTAATGCAGTAAACTATGTACTAACATGACTAAAGCCCCCCCGGTGGAACTACTCTTAATGCAGTAAAATAGTTACTCCATGACTAAGGCCCACCGTGATAACTGACTCGTTAATGCAGAGTAAAATATACTCACATGACTAAAGCCCACAGTTGGAAAACTGACTCATGTAATGCAGGAAACTATTACTCACCATGACTAACGCCCACCCGTGAACGACCGTTAATGCAGTCAAACATTTATACCTGAATAACGCCCACATGTTGGAAATGACTCATTAATGCATAAAACTATTTACTAACATGACTAAGCCCAACCCGTTATAACTGCTCATTAATGCCCCCCCTTATAGTAAAACTATTTCTACCATGATACAGCCCACCCGTTGTGAAACTGACTCATTAATGCAGTAAACTATTTACTAACAGACTAAAGCCCCACCGTTGGAACTGATCCATTTAATGCAGTAAACTTATTTATAACATGACTTAAAGCCCACCCGTTGGAACTGACTCATTAATGCAGTAAACTGATTTACTAACATGAATAAAGCCCCCCCCCCCCCCAACCAACGTTGGAACTGACTGTTAGCAGTAAACTTTTACTACCATGACTAAAGCACACCCGTTGGAAACTGACTCGTTAATGCAGTAAACTATTACTAACACTGACTAAAGCCCACCCGTTGGAACTGGACTCGTTAATCCCGTAAACTATGTAATACCATGACTAAAGCCAACCCGTTTGCAAAACTGATCGTAATGCAGTAAACTATTTACTAACATGACTAAAGCCCAACCGTTGGAACTGACTCGGTTAAGGCGCAACGATTTACAACATGAACTGAAAGCCACACGTTGGAAACTGCTCGTTAATGCAGGAAACTATTTACTAACTGACTAAAGCCCCCCAACCGTTGGAACGGACTCGGTAAGGCAGTAAAATATTTACTAACATGACTAAGCCCACCAAGTTGGAACTGATATTAATGCAGTCAACTATTATAATGACTAAAGCACAACCAGTTGGAATGAACGTTATAATGCAGTAAACTTATTTACTCCATGACTAACCCACCCGTTGGACTGACTCGTTAATGCAGTAAACTATTTACTACCATGACTAAAGCCCACCCTGTTTGGAAACTGACTCGTTAATGCAGTAAACTATTTACTAACATGACTAAAGCCCACCCGGTGGAAACTGACTCATTAATGCAGTAAAACTATTTACTAACCATGACTAAGCCCACCCGTTGGAACTGACTCATTAATGCAGTTAAACTATTTACTAACATGACTAAAGCCCACCCGTTGGAAACTGACTCATTAATGCAGTAAAACTATTTACTAACATGATAAAGCCCACCCGTTGGAACTGACTCATTAATGCAGTAAACTATTTACTAACCATGACTAAAGGCCCACCACGTTTGGAACTGACTCGTTAATGCAGGTAAACTATTTACTAACATGACTAAAGCCCACCCGTTGGAACTGACTCGTTAATGCAGTAAACTATTTACTAACATGACTAAAGCCCAACCCGTTGGAAACTGACTCGTTTAATGCAGTAAAACTATTACTACATGACTAAAGCCCCCACCGTTGAAAACTGACTCGTTAATGCAGTAAAACTATTTACTAACATGACTAAAGCACACCCGTTTGGAACTGACTCGTTAATGCAGTAAATATTTACTAACATGACTAAAGCCCACCAGTTGGAACTGACCGTTAATGCAGTAAAACTATTACTAACATGACTAAAGCCCACCCGTGGAAAACTGACTCATTAATGCAGTAAACTATTTACTACCATGAATAAGCCCACCCGTTGGAAATGATCAATTAATGCAGTAACTATTTACTACCATCGAAAGCCCACCGTTGGAAATGAATCGTTAAATTGCAGTAAAACTATTTACCTAAATGCTAAAAGCCCACCCGTTGGAATGATCATTAATGCAGTAAACTATTTACTAAACATGACTACAGCCCACACGTGGAACTGAATCGTTAATGCAGTAAACTATTTACTAATGAATAAAGCCCACCCGTTTTGGAAATGACTTGTTAATGCAGTAAAACTATTACTACATGACTAAGCCCACCCGCTTATTAACGAATCCTTAAGACAGTAAACATTTACTACCAGGGATAACGCCCACCCGTTGGAAATGATGCATTACGGCAGTAAACTATTTAAGACCATGACTAAAGCCCACCCGTTGGAAACTGACTCGTTAATGAATAAACTATTTACTAACATGACTAACGCCACCCGTGGACCTGACTCCTTAATGCATAAAACATACTACCATGACTAAAGCCACCCGTGGGAACTGACTCATTAATGCAGTAAAATATTTACTAACATGATAAAGCCCCCGATGGAACTGACTCTTAATGCAGTAAAAACTATTTACTACCATGACTAAACCAACCCGTTGGAACTGACTCGTTAATGCAGAAAACTAGTTACTAAACATGACTAAAGCCCACCCGTTGGAAACTGATCATAATGCCAGTAAACATTTCTACATGACTAAAGCCCACCGTTGGAACGACCGTTATGCAGTAAACTATTACTAAACATGACTAAAGCCCACCAGTTGGAAATGACTCGTTAGCAGAGTAATATTTAACAACATGACTAAGCCCACCCGGTGGAAACGGACTCATTAATGCAGTAAACTATTACTACCATGATTAAAGCACACACGTTGGAACGGACTCTTAATGCAGTAAAATAGTACTAACATGACTAAAGGCCCACCGTTGGAACGACTTTCATTAATGAAGTAAACTTTCCTACCCATGACTAAAGCCCACCCGTTGGAAAATGACTCATTAATTGCGTAAACTATTTACTACCATGACTAAAGCCCAACCCGTTGGAAACGACTCATTAATGCAGGTAAACTATACTACCATGACTAAAGCCCACCCGTTGGAACTGACTCGTTAATGCAGTAAAACTATTTAAAACATGACTAAAAGCCAACCCGTTGGAACTGACCGTTATGCAGTCACACATTTACTAACATGACTCTAAAGCCCACCCGGAAAACGTACTCGTTAATGCAGTAAAAACTATTTACCATCATGACTAAAGACCACCCGTTGGAACTGAATCATTAATGCAGTAAATATTTACAACATGAATAAAGCCCACCCGTTGGGAACTACTCGTTATGCAGAAAAAATACTTTATACCATGACTAAAGCCCACCGTTTGGAAACTGACCGTTAATGCAGTAACTATTTACTACCATGACTAACGCCCACCCGTTGGAACTGACTCGTTAATGCAGTAAACTATTTACTTACCATGACTAAAGCCCACCCGTTGGAATGACTCGTTAATGCAGGTAAACTATTTACTACACATGAACTAAAGCCCACCCGTTGGAACTGACTCTTAATGCAGTAAAACTATTTACTACCATGACTAAAGCCCACCCGTTGGAACTGACTCGTTAATGCAGTAAACTATTTACTACCATGACTAAAGCCCACCCGTTGGAACTGACTCGTAATGCAGTAAACTATTTTACTACATGATAAAGCCCACCCGTTGGAACTGACTCGTTAATGCAGTAAACTATTTACTACCATGACTAAAGCCCCACCCGTTGGAACTGACTCGTAAGCAGTAAACTATTTACTACCATGACTAAGCCCACCCCGTTGGAATGACTCGTTAATGCAGTAAACTATTTACTACCATGACTAAGCCCACCCGTTGGAATGACTCGTTAATGCAGTAAACTATTACTACCATGACTAAAGCCCACCCGTTGGAAATGACTCGTTAATGCAGTAAACTATTTACTAGAATGACTAAAGCCCCCCCGTTGGAAGGACTGATTAATGCAGTAAAACTATTTACTACAATGACTAAAGCCCACCCGTTGAACGACTCATTAATGCAGTAAACGATTTACTTACCATGACTAAAGCCCCACCCCGTTGGGAATGAATCGTTAATGCAGTAAACTATTTACTAACATAAGCTAAAGCCCACCGTTGGAACTGAACTCATTAATGCAGTAAACTATTTACTAACATGACTAAAGCCCAACCGTTGGGGAACGGACTCGTTCATGCAGTAAACTATTTACTATCATGACTAAAGCCACCCGTTTGGAACTGACTCATTCCTGCAGTAAAAAACTATTTCCTACCATGATAAAGCCCACCGTTGGAAACTGAATCGTTAATGCAGTAAAATATTACTACATGACTAAAGCCCACCCGTTGGAACTGGCTCATTAATGCAGAAACTATTTGATACCATGACTAAAGCCCACCGTTGGAACGACTCATTATGCCGGAAACATTTTACTACCAGAATAAAGCCCACCGTGGTGAACTGACTTGTTTAATGCAGTAAAAATAAAAAAAAACAAAAAACTATTTTTGACTACCATGACCTTAAAGCCCACCGTTGGACGACTCGTTATGCAGTAAACCTATTTACTACCATGGCTAAAGCCCAACCCTTGGAAAGGCGCGTTTAATGCAGTAATATACTACCATGACTAAGCCCAACCGTGGAAACTGACTCATTAATTGAAGTAAAACTATTTATACCATGACTAAAGCCCACCCGTTGGAACTGAATCGTTAATGCAGTAAACTATTACTACCTGAATAAGCCAACCCGTTGAAATGAATCATTAATGCAGTAAAATATTTGATAACATGACTAAAGCACACCCGTTGGAACTGATCGTTAATGCAGTAAAATATTTACTCCCAGGAACTAAAGACCAACCGTTGGAACTGAATCGATGCAGTAAAAACTATTTACTACCATGACCTAAAGCCCACCCGTTGGAACTGACTCATAATGCAGTAAACTATTTACTACCATGACTAAAGCCCACCCGTTGGAACTGACTCATATGCAGTAAACTATTTACTACATGACTAAAGCCCACCCGTTGGAAACGACTCGTAATGCAGAGTAAATATTACTACCATGACTAAAGCCCACCCGTTGGAACTGATCTTAATGCAGTAAACTATTTACTACCATGACTAAAGCCCACCCGTTGGAACTGACTCGTTAATGCAGTAAACTATTTACTACCATGACTAAAGCCCACCCGTTGGAACTGACTCGTTAATGCAGTAAACTATTTACTACCATGACTAAAGCCCACCCGTTGGAACTGACTCATTAATGCAGTAAACTATTTACTACCATGACTAAAGCCCACCCGTTGTAACTGACTCATTAATGCAGTAAACTATTTACTACCATGACTAAAGCCCACCCGTTGGAACTGACTCATTAATGCAGTAAACTATTTTACTACCATGACTAAAGCCCACCGTTGGAACTGACTCATTAATGCAGTAAACTATTTACTACCATGATAAAGCCCACCCGTGGAACTGACTCGTTAATGAGTCAACTATTTACTACCATGACTAAAGCCCACCCGTTGGAAATACTCATTAAGCAGTAAACTATTTACTACAATGACTAAAGCCCACACGTGGAACGACTCGTTAATGAGTTAAACTATTACTACCCTATGACTAAAGCACACCCGTTGGAACTGACTCAGTAATGCAGTTAAACTATTTACTACCATGACTAAAAGCCACCCGTTGGAACTGAACTCGTTAATGACAGTAAACTATTTCTAACATGACTAAAGCCCACCGTGGAACTGACTCATTAACTGCAGAAACGATTATACCATGACTAAAGCAAAGCCCGTTGGAAAAATGACTCGTTATAATTGCAGTAAACTATTATAACATGACTAAAGCCCACCCGTTGGAACTGACTCGTTAATGCAGTTTAAACTCTTTACTACATGACTAAAGCACACCGTTGGAAACTGACTCGTTAACTGCAGTAAAATATTACTCCATTGACTAAAGCACACCCGTTGGAACTGACTCGTTAATTGCAGTAAATATTTACTACCATGACTAAAGCCCACCCGTTGGAACTGACTCGTTAATGCAGTAAACTATTTACTACCATGACTAAAGCCCACCCGTTGGAACTGACTCGTTAATGCAGTAAACTATTTACTACCATGACTAAAGCCCACCCGTTGGAACTGACTCGTTAATGCAGTAAACTATTTACTATCATGACTAAAGCCCACCCGTTGGAACTGACTCATTAATGCAGTAAAGCTCCAATGATGTTTTGGACACTTTGGTGTGTGTGTGGTGTGTGTGTGTGTGTGTGTGTGTGTGTGTGTGTGTGTGTGTGTGTGTGTGTGTGTGTGTGTGTGTGGTGTGTGTGTGTACATCATGACCTTTACAGAGAAGTGCTGAGAAGGTCAGAGTAGCTAAATACAACCTGACGGATCAGTTGACACACACACAAACACACACATACACACGTTGGAGGCGCTGTGTAAATCCACTGAGCGTGATTCCATAGTGAGACGTCAGTTATCAGTGATTCTGCAGAGCATTGCATTTATATTTATTATAAACTGGCTAGTTTGGGTCCTGGATGCTGAAGGCTGAAACAGCATTCCAGCCATGTGTACTGCGCATTCGGAAAGTATTCAGACCCCTTGACTTTTTCCACATTTTGTTACATTTCAGCCTTATTCTAAAATTGATTAAATTGTTTTTTTTCCCCTCATCATTCTACACAAAATACCCCATAATGACAAAGCAAAAACAGGTTTTTAGAAGTGTTTTCAGTCCCTTTACTCAGTACTTTGTTGAAGCACCTTTGGCATCAATAAGAGCATCGATTCTTCTTGGGTATGACACTACAAGCTTGGCACACCTGTATTTGGGGAGTTTCTCCCATTCTTCTATGCAGATCCTCTCAAGCTCTGACAGGTTGGATGGGGAGCATCACTGCACAGCTATTTTCAGGTCTCTCCAGAGATGTTTGATCAGGTTCAAGTCCGGGCTCTGGCTGGGCCACTCAAGGACATTCAGAGACTTGTCCCGAAGCCACTCCTGCATTGTCTTGGCTGTGTGCTTAGGGTCGTTGTCCTGTTGGAAGGTGAACCTTCGCCCCAGTCTGAGGTCCTGAGCGCTCTGGAGCAGGTTTTCATCAAGGATCTCTCTGTCCCTCGATCCTGACTAGTCTCCCAGTCCCTGACGCTGAAAAACATCCCCACAGCATGATGCTGCCACCACCATGCTTCACTGTAGGGATGTTGTCAGGTTTCCTCCAGACGTGACGCTTGGCATTTGGGACAAGTCTCTGAATGTCCTTGAGTGGCCCAGCCAGAGCCCGGACTTGAACCTGATCGAACATCTCTGAAGAGACCTGAAAATAGCTGTGCAGCGACGCTCCCCATCCAACCTGACAGAGCTTGAGAGGATCTGCAGAGAAGAACGGGAGAAACTCCCCAAATATCCCCACACCTTAACTCCCTCACACAGACACACCTTAACCCCACCACCGCACACTTAACCTCCCTCACACACAGACACACCTTAACTCCCTCACACAGACACACCTTAACTCCCTCACACAGACACACCTTAACTCCCTCACACCAGACACACCTTAACTCCCTCACACCAGACACACCTTAACTCCCTCACACACCAGACACACCTTAACCCCTCCCCAGACACACCTTAACTCCCCCAACAACACACTTAACTCCCTCACACACAGACACACCTTAACTCCCTCACACACCAGACACACCTTAACTCCCTCACACACAGACACACCTTAACTCCCCCACCCCCAGACACACCTTAACTCCCTCACACCAGACACACCTTAACTCCCTCACACAGACACACCTTAACTCCCTCACACCAGACACACCTTAACTCCCCACACACCAGACACACCTTAACTCCCTCACACACCAGACACACCTTAACTCCCTCACACCAGACACACCTTAACTCCCTCACACACACACACCTTAACTCCCTCACACAGGACACACCTTTAACTCCCCCACACACCAGACACACCTTTAACTCCCACTCACACAGACACACCTTAACTCCCTCCACACAGACACACCTTAACTCCCCACAACCCGACACACCTTAACTCCCCCACACACCAGGACCAACCTTAACTCCCCTCACACAACGACACACCTTAACTCCCTCACACCAGACACACCTTAACTCCCTCACAACAGACACACCTTAACTCCCCCCACACACAGACACACCTTAACTCCCTCACACACCAGACACACCTTAACTCCCTCACACACCAGACACACCTTAACTCCCTCACACACCAGACACACCTTAACTCCCTCACACACCAGACACACCTTAACTCCCTCACCACACCAGACACACCTATAACTCCCCCTCACACACAGACCACACCTTAACTCCCTCACACCAGACCACACCTTAAACTCCCTCACACAGACACACCTTAAACTCCCCCACACACCCAGACACACCTTAACTCCCTCACACGGACACACCTTAACTCACTCACACAGGACACCACACCTTAACTCCCTCACACCAGACACACCTTAACTCCCTCACACAGACACACCTTAACTCCTCACACACAGACACACCTTAACTCCCTCACACACAGACACACCTTAACTCCCTCACACACAGACACACCTTAACTCCCTCACACCAGACACACCTTAACTCCCTCACACAGACACACCTTAACTCCCACACACAGACACACACCGTCATCTCCCAGTTGTTCTTTGATCTTGATGAAGTCCGACCCCCCCACCACGCCGACTCGAACACGCCGCCGCAGACGCTGAAGAAAGTCCTCCATCCCAGGAGTCACCCTCTGGAACACATTAGTACACTGTTGCTACAGCAACTATTCAAGTGGTATCAGCAACCATTCAATCCATCAGACAGACACCCACCCAACACACAGTCCTGCCTCTACCATGGATACAGTATATATCATTCACCCGGTGACGGACTACTATAGCTAAACCATAACACGCTCTCTAACAATGGTCCATTTGACCTGTCTATAGGTCAGTGAACAGGGTTGTATTCATTACGCCGTTTTGCAACAGAAAAAGTTTACTCCAAATGGAAAACGTTTTGCAAAGAAAACGAGAGTTTCTATTGGACAAATGCAGGTAGGTGTGAACTAACGTTAACGTTGATCCATTTGACCTGTCTATGAGTTAGTGGTTAGTGGACTGAAGCAGGGGACCTATCGTTGGTCTCCTTACCTGTCTATGAGTTAGTGGTTAGTGGACTGTAGCAGGGGACCTATCGTTGGTCTCCTTACCTGTCTATGAGTTAGTGGTTAGTGGACTGTAGCAGGGGACCTATCGTTGGTCTCCTTACCGGTCTATGAGTTAGTGGTTAGTGGACTGTAGCAGGGGACCTATCGTTGGTCTCCTTACCAGTCTATGAGTTAGTGGTTAGTGGACTGTAGCAGGGGACCTATCATTGGTCTCCTTACCAGTCTATGAGTTAGTGGTTAGTGGACTGTAGCAGGGGACCTATCATTGGTCTCCTTACCTGTCTATGAGTTAGTGGTTAGTGGACTGTAGCAGGGGACCTATCGTTGGTCTCCTTACCGGTCTATGAGTTAGTGGTTAGTGGACTGTAGCAGGGGACCTATCATTGGTCTCCTTACCAGTCTATGAGTTAGTGGTTAGTGGACTGTAGCAGGGGACCTATCATTGGTCTCCTTACCTGTCTATGAGTTAGTGGTTAGTGGACTGTAGCAGGGGACCTATCGTTGGTCTCCTTACCTGTCTATGAGTTAGTGGTTAGTGGACTGTAGCAGGGGACCTATCGTTGGTCTCCTTACCTGTCTATGAGTTAGTGGTTAGTGGACTGTAGCAGGGGACCTATCGTTGGTCTCCTTACCTGTCTATGAGTTAGTGGTTAGTGGACTGTAGCAGGGGAACTATCGTTGGTCTCCTTACCTGTCTATGAGTTAGTGGTTAGTGGACTGTAGCAGGGGACCTATCGTTGGTCTCCTTACCCGTCTATGAGTTAGTGGACTGTAGCAGGGGACCTATCATTGGTCTCCTTACCTGTCTATGAGTTAGTGGTTAGTGGACTGTAGCAGGGGACCTATCGTTGGTCTCCTTACCTGTCTATGAGTTAGTGGTTAGTGGACTGTAGCAGGGGACCTATCGTTGGTCTCCTTACCTGTCTATGAGTTAGTGGTTAGTGGACTGTAGCAGGGGACCTATCGTTGGTCTCCTTACCCGTCTATGAGTTAGTGGACTGTAGCAGGGGACCTATCATTGGTCTCCTTACCTGTCTATGAGTTAGTGGTTAGTGGACTGTAGCAGGGGACCTATCGTTGGTCTCCTTACCTGTCTATGAGTTAGTGGTTAGTGGACTGTAGCAGGGGACCTATCGTTGGTCTCCTTACCTGTCTATGAGTTAGTGGTTAGTGGACTGTAGCAGGGGACCTATCGTTGGTCTCCTTACCCGTCTATGAGTTAGTGGACTGTAGCAGGGGACCTATCATTGGTCTCCTTACCTGTCTATGAGTTAGTGGTTAGTGGACTGTAGCAGGGGACCTATCGTTGGTCTCCTTACCTGTCTATGAGTTAGTGGTTAGTGGACTGTAGCAGGGGACCTATCGTTGGTCTCCTTACCTGTCTATGAGTTAGTGGTTAGTGGACTGTAGCAGGGGACCTATCGTTGGTGTCCTTACCCGTCTATGAGTTAGTGGACTGTAGCAGGGGACCTATCATTGGTCTCCTTACCTGTCTATGAGTTAGTGGTTAGTGGACTGTAGCAGGGGACCTATCGTTAGCAGCACCGTAGGAACTACCGTTGGTCTCCTTACCTGTCTATGAGTTAGTGGACTGTAGCAGGGGACCTATCGTTAGCAGCACCGTAGGAACTATCGTTGGTCTCCTTACCTGTCTATGAGTTAGTGGACTGTAGCAGGGGACCTATCGTTGGTCTCCTTACCAGTCTATGAGTTAGTGGTTAGTGGACTGTAGCAGGGGACCTATCGTTGGTCTCCTTACCTGTCTATGAGTTAGTGGTTAGTGGACTGTAGCAGGGGACCTATCGTTGGTCTCCTTACCTGTCTATGAGTTAGTGGACTGTAGCAGGGGACCTATCGTTAGCAGCACCGTAGGAACTATCGTTGGTCTCCTTACCTGTCTATGAGTTAGTGGACTGTAGCAGGGGAACTATCGTTGGTCTCCTTACCTGTCGAGCGGCAGTCAGCGTCCCGTCCACATCGAAGAGACACAGCGTCGAGGTGTCGACAGCTTCACTCATCTTGTTCGTAGTAAATGTGTTGTTAGTAAATTACGGCAGACGGTGTTGGAGGAATAGTTGTTCGCCGTCCGGGACACAGAGGACGGAAAACTGATTTGAAGGCGGAAGAGACTAGTGGACGGACTGCAACGTCATCTGTGGTTTGTGTATACGGAAGTAAGTATAGCCCCTTTGTCCAATCACAGCGCACTGTGGGCGTGGCTTTGTTACATTTTATTCGCTCGTTTTGTACATTCGGGGAAACGCCAAATATTTGGTGATTAGCCTCATAATTAAATATAAAAGGATTTGAAAGACTGAATTATTGACAAACAGAGAATTGAATAGTTTATTTGTACACAGCTCAATCCAGCTGAAATGAGCTGTGTAGAAGTTTCATAGGGTTTTGGCGCCACTTAGTGGCCATCAATAGTATGGGTCATTCTACAGATTCGGTGACATTTCAGTATTGTCAGTGTCCCAAGATGTACTAGTGTTATAACTTGTCAGAACATTTATCAAACTACACTTAAATTACAACATTTCAAAGTTTTACATGTTTTTAATATGGAGTAGAGAATTTGATTTTAAACAGAGATGAATTTCAATACTTATATGTTTGCTTTTCTTAGGAGTATTAAGAATTTCACCTGTCCCTATTGACCATCATGCAAATGGCGTGACTCATTTTGAGTACACAGTGTTAAATAATAATGCTTTTTTTTTGTTAAATTAATTGTATATGCCCCCTTATTATGCATAATCAATTTTCTCAGCATAAGACATTTTATTTTCGGAGAAATTCAGGCTTTTACCCCTGTCCTTGTATTTCTTTCAACCCCGTAACGCAACAATACCCCGACTCACAATTAAATAATGGTTTGATCCTGTGGACATCATTTATGAGGAAGTGACATCATACAAGTCTTCAGAGAAGCCTGGTGTGACAAGTGGTAAGCTGCTCTCTCACTTTTTATCAATATTTCATGTTTTTTAAGCACATATGGGCTTTGTCAATCTCAGGTATTCAACTCTGTTGGGGGGGGGAATTCATAGTTAAGATTTTACCAATAATTGTTTTTATAGCTATGAAGTATAACAATGTATTTTGTTGAATAAGGCCATGTGGCACACTGCTAGCTGCTAGCATCCCGAATTAGCAACAGATTAGCACAAAATCTTCAACCCTGTCACATTCAACCCCATCACATTTTTCAATGTTACGGGGTTGAATGGCTGTTACAGGGTTGAATAGCTGTTAAATCTTAGCAATATTTAATGTATATTGCTTAATACCAATCATATTTTCTTGTTGAATGTTTGTTGTTTACGGTTTTACAGTATCAACTAAAAGTACGAGGAATTTTTGAAAATAATAACTTTAAAAAAGTGACAATTAATTTGTTCTCTCTCCTATATACATTGACATATTTAGGAGTATTATCTGCAAGTTCATGTTCATTTTACTACATAGTGATTAAAAGGATACAATATTTAGTCTTGAAGAGTAAGCAGGTCATTGACTTGACCTTGACCTACAATTTCAGATTCAACAATGGAAAAAACAGCAGCAGAAAGGAAACACACATAGAGAGGAAGGTGAGGGACATCCGCGCGCCGGTGGTCAGGTAATTCTCCTGGACATGGGAAGGGAGCACCAGATGGTGTTGGTGCAACCCTAAAAAGAACCGCAGACAGGCTGATAAGTCAAGGATGTGACATCCCAAATGCTCATACTCTGTACAGGGTCTTAGAGGAGAACAACACTGCCATCAAGCTTTACTTCATTGAAGACGAGGCCATCGAGAAAGCCGTCCAAGGTATGCCAGCCAATTTGCCAGTAGTTCCATCCACAATGCGGATCCACCAAGTTGTTTGTGTGGCTGCAAGGCAAATTGCCTACCGTGATGTAAGCTGTATGTGCACAGTCCACAACAAGAAACTGGAATGCCAGTGTTTCAATACACAACATTTCACATGTACCCCTAAAGTTACATCAGTCGTGTCACAGAGGGAGGTTGATTGGGCAAATCCAGACATATGCGGGAAATGGTGCGTGGCCAAATATGATGACGATTTCTATCCCGGAATAATTCTAGCCACAGATTAATCCCATGTGCAGGTCAAATGCATGTACTGTGCTGGACCAAATAGGTACTTCTGGCCACTTCTTGATGATATCCTGTGGTATCCATTTGAGGACATCTTGGAACACATTGATCCCCCTAAACCGGTGACTTCTAGGCACATGGAAATACAGAAGGAAGTGTGGGCTAGGCTCTCTCAGTAAAAATGGTGAACAAACTGTAGGCTTACCTATAGGTTATTAATGTTAAGATCTTTGCTTAATGTTCAAACATTCAAACAACACAGACATTCCTGCCATTACTCTGGATATTTCTATGAAATCAATGAAAATGTTGTAACTGTTGTTAGTTTATTAATGTGTTTTAATCTGTCTAGATTTCATCTTGATTGTTTAAACTTTAAAAGCTATGTTGACAGTAGTTTAAAATGTTAAAAATGGCAACATGTGACCTATATAGGTTATCAATGTTAAGATGTTTGCTCAATGTTCAAACAGACTCCTGCCATTATCAGATGGATATTTTTATGAAATCAATGAAATGTTGTTACTGTTATTAGTTCATTAATGTGTTTTACTCTGTCTAGCTTTCATCTAGATTCTTTAGATTTTAAAAGCTATGTTGACAGTAGGTTTAAAAATGTTTAAAAAATGGCAACATGTTAGTGATCTCAAAAGATAAAACATATGACACGTGATGCTTTTCACTCAACCCTGTTACATGATTTTCAACCCTGTTGCGGTGCATTCATCCCTGTTACGAGATTATTTTTTTACATTTTTGTATTAAATACACAAAATATAACATCAATAGTGTTTTTATTGTGTGTATTAAATCAGGGTAAATAAGGCTATTTCAATTTTGTCAGGAATTACGCAGCATTCTTGCACATTTCTTGCGAAAATGTGGAGTTAGATTAGAACTTTCTTCATCGTAAACTGGAAAGGATGGTGCTGGTCAGTTTTTCTTGATTTTCTCTTTAATAACAATATGCCATTATTTACAAGGGACATCTAAACTGTGAGATTATGCCAGAAGCTGATCTCAAGCTTATTGGAAAAATGAATAGTTGAATAACAAAATGACTGTGACGGGGTTAAATTAAATTGGGACTTGTTTGAGAAAATAATACAGAATAATAACTTAATACTCTACATTGAGATGGGAAAAGGTATTTTCTATCAAGTACACACATTACTTTGTCACATCAAATAAAAAAAAGCTTAAGATTTTAATGTTCATTGTTTCATCCTCCTCAATCACAAAAGGCACCGAATCTGTAGAATGACCCGTATACAGCTGCTATAGAGAGACGGCAGGGACCAAGGGTTTACGTTTTACATTTTAGTATTTTAGCAGACGCTCTTATCCAGAGCGACTTACAGTTAGTGAGTGCATACATTTATCATACTGGCCCCCCGTGGGAATCGAACCCGTGCTCTACCAACTGAGCTACAAACCTATAGGCTAGTTGATGATGATGGTGGTTGATAATGCTTGGCGCAGTGGTCTAAGGCACTGCATCGTAGTGCTAGCTGTGCCACTAGAGATCCTGGTTGGAGTCCAGGCTCTGTCGCAGCCGGCCGCGACCGGGAGACCCATGGGTGGCGCACAATTGGTCCAGCGTCGTCCAGGGTTCGTTTCCCACGGGGGGCCAGTATGAAAGAAAAAACAAAACAAAAATAACATGTATGCATTCACTAACTGTAAGTCGCTCTGGATAAGAGCGTCTGCTAAATGACTAAAATGTATAATGATGTGGTGGCTATTCAGCAGACTGATGGTCTGGGGGTAGAAGCTATTGGCCGGTCTGACAGTTGTTGTCATGATGCTCCTATACTGCCCGTGTCTGAGTGATGGAAGCGGGGAGAACAGGCCGTGGCTGGGGTCCCTGATGATCTTCTTGGCCTTCCTGCGACACCTGGTGTCGTAGGTGTCCTGGAGGGTAGGCAGTGTGCACCCAGTGGTACGTTAGGCTGAGCGTATCACCCTCTGTAGCGCCTTGCGGCCAGCGGCGGTGGAGTTGCCGTACCAGGCTGTATCACCCTCTGTAGCGCCTTGCGGTCAGCGGCGGTGGAGTTGCCGTACCAGGCTGTATCACCCTCTGTAGCGCCTTGCGGCCAGCGGCGGTGGAGTTGCCGTACCAGGCTGTATCACCCTCTGTAGCGCCTTGCGGTCAGCGGCGGTGGAGTTGCCGTACCAGGCTGTATCACCCTCTGTAGCGCCTTGCGGTCAGCGGCGGTGGAGTTGCCGTACCAGGCTGTATCACCCTCTGTAGCGCCTTGCGGCCAGCGGCGGTGGAGTTGCCGTACCAGGCTGTATCACCCTCTGTAGCGCCTTGCGGTCAGCGGCGGTGGAGTTGCCGTACCAGGCTGTATCACCCTCTGTAGCGCCTTGCGGTCAGCGGCGGTGGAGTTGCCGTACCAGGCTGTATCACCCTCTGTAGCGCCTTGCGGTCAGCGGCGGTGGAGTTGCCGTACCAGGCTGTATCACCCTCTGTAGCGCCTTGCGGTCAGCGGCGGTGGAGTTGCCGTACCAGGCTGTATCACCCTCTGTAGCGCCTTGCGGTCAGCGGCGGTGGAGTTGCCGTACCAGGCTGTATCACCCTCTGTAGCGCCTTGCGGTCAGCGGCGGTGGAGTTGCCGTACCAGGCTGTATCACCCTCTGTAGCGCCTTGCGGTCAGCGGCGATGGAGTTGCCGTACCAGGCTGTATCACCCTCTGTAGCGCCTTGCGGTCAGCGGCGGTGGAGTTGCCGTACCAGGCTGTGATGTGTAGAGATGATGGCGTCGGAATAAAGTGTATTCAGATCAGTGGAGGTTCGGGAGTTTCTACTTTTAGATCCAATAAGCACAGTGCTGTTGGTGTCTTTCAATATTTGACTAAAGTAGGCTTTATAGTACGTCCCACTTCTTTTCTTGTTATTGAGAGACAGAGACAAGGCAGTTAGCAACAAATGGTGTTTTACTCCCTCGTGTGGATCATAATGGTACTACAGCTGATGCTTAGCCATGAGTTGAAGTACACTGCTCAAAAATAAATAAAGGGAACACTTAAACAACACAATGTAACT